AACTTAATGATTAGTGTAAGGCTCTCAACTTCACAATAGACTATTGTATGTTGAAAATCTGTAAGCATTCAACAGGAAAGTTTAATGTATAGAGAAACCTTGATTTACAAAGAGATACAATATTGAATAAAAAGACTTGTATTTACTAACTAGTATAAGTATTTTAATAGTGCACACATAGCTTGAGTTTCACCTTTGAAATAATAGAACAACCTGAGAGTCGCCTGTACAGAGTACAGCCTTGAGAATTTAAATGCTCAAACAGCATATCACACGAGAGTTTTTAAAAAAATTCAATGAATAGAATTAGTATTTATTTAGTCTATGATATACACGTTATCCAATTCAATCAAGTTAAAATCTATATTTGTAAAAATATCATTACTAGGGTGTAATGCAGTCTGATGCTAATATTCACCCAGTTATGTTTGTTATTTTCATAATATTTCATCATTACTATTACCTTACTCCCACTAATGAACTCGATTTTCACTACTTAGTTACTTAACACCGTATATTACGTGCTAAGTTATTAATATTTTTCCAGTTTTCTTAGACATTTATCTTGGCTTTATTCAGCTTGTCAATATTTAAATCATACACGAAGTCAGTCACAGAACAAACTGCTCATTACCATGGTTAAAAACCGTGAAAATGAGTGATGGAGTTTCAGATCCCACTATGTCAGTCAATTTGCTCAGGATTCTTGGTGAGTTTTGCTGAAAGTTGTTTGCTAAAGCGAAAGTTAGGTTCATGCTTTTTTGTAGATTATCTCCAGTTAATACTCCAGTGAATTTAATTATAAAGTTCATTTTTTAGACTTCTGTCTTGATGTTTTTATTAGTTTTGTTTTCTAGAATATTCATAGCGTTTTCTTAGGAATAGTCAATCGTATGAACAATGCCCATCACTGTTCTACATTTATTACTCCTTACAAATCTACATATATATTCTCCTGCTGAGATTAATAGATTCATATTATTCTACTGCAATTTTTGCATTTAGTTCAATGGAAACTAGATTAACTATATCCAAAAGATTAGCAGTAAAATATTTCACTTCATTAATATACTATTTGATATTAATAGTGATAATAATAATATTAATTTTCACACAGATCATTTCAGCAAAAGCAAGATAAAGTAATTACTGAATGTAGTAGATAAGGTTCTACTTGATTGCTTTTTTCAATAATCCCAGATCATTTTGAACAGCTTAAGTGATTTTCTGTTATACTGATATTATTCTAACATCCGGAGCAACACGTTCACTCGTCTATTAACCAGATAAAATACTTTTTTTATAATTAAGGGTGATTCCTACTTAATCTCTCAGGAACATGGAATTTTTAAAATCACTCATCTTTCAATAAGCCATCACAACTAAAACGAATCAACTTATATCTTGTAATGATCATGATTTCCATTTGAATCTTTGTGGTGTTTTAATGAACTAATGATTCGTTTGTACTTGTTGAATGCTTGATTTCGAATTCCAAATACAGTACATTCGTTTTTGTTTATCTAGTACTTCTTGATCCGATTACGTTATTTCTGGGATTCTTAGTTCATACTATAATTCAAATACTCCTAATCATCATAATTTTTTTTGTACATAGTTCTTTTCTAACAGTAAATATTTGTCATGGAGTAATGTAATTTTCCCTTTGGATTTAAACCAATCATTTGAAATCTACAGCCAAAAAAACCAATATAGTAATCGAATATTAAGAAAGGTAGTTTCATTATTTGATGTTTTCTCTACACATTATTGATTTTTGTAAGATTAGGTGAAAGAAAGGTTGCAATATTTTCTATTCAATATCATGTATATACAATGTAGAAAACTATTATTATTCAGTAAAGTCTTACATTACTAGTTTACACAGTTATGAATGTTTATTATTGTTATGCCTGTGCACAAATATCACAAGAAAATTTGATTGGACTATATATGAAAATGAATAGGAAATTTACACAGTTAAGAAATGGAATATTACTGACTTTTTTTCAATAATATAATACAAATCTTTCATTGATATATTTCAAAGGAACGCCCACGTTCCAGTAATTCCATGTATATATATATTTATTTATCGAATGAAAATTCCATCAATTCTAGAAGCTTCATTTTGTTTTACACTAGTGATTCTGTGTTAAGTTAACATGGGAGAAGAAGTAAGTTAGGTTTTGATAATGATTAATATATCATGAATATTATTTTTTTTACCATTTGTTCTATTTCACTGGTTGAAATCATGAGTCAGTTGAAGCTAGACCACCGTGGAAGACCTGAAAGCACTGTGGTTCTCGGTTCGAATCTCGTGGGGTGCGGGATCGTGGATGCGCACTGCTGAGGAGTCCCATACTAGGACGAAACGGCCGTCCAGTGCTTCCAGGTTTTCCACGGTGGTCTAGGTTCAGTTGACTCATGGTTTCAACCAGTGAAATTTCTAAAATCTCCACAAAACCCCTTCTGACATTTATTCTATTGCAAAAAATTATATTGATTACCAAGCGAGTAAAGTTGAGTGTTAAATATTAAATATGGTTAATGGTCAGAATAGTGTAAAGAAAAGGTAAGTACATCTAACTGAATTATTGCTAGTTGTGATAAGGAGTGGAAATTTATTTTTACATATCAAATCTAATAACATAACAACGATGGGTTATTGTGTTTGAGTAACTATAGTGAACCTAATACTTTTATTAAATACCAAACTCTGTCATAACTGTATGGAAGAAATATAGAGAGTTCTGTCTAACAACAAATCTGTTTATTGAGAAAGATTTCGTCTACGAAAACTAAACAGTGTTACCTACTGTAGTACTGTGAAAGCAATCCTACTGTTCCAGTTGTACAGTTATAAAACCAAATAATTAAGAGATGATATATCTTACATCATTATATAGTTTCTTCATATCTTTTGATAATCTACAGCCATATCCCTCTAGGTAGCTACTTTGTAGTTAAATTTACTTTTTGTAAGAATACTTTGATTTTACTTGAGTTATTTGTTAAGAATGTATTGAATAATAGATAAAGAGGCAATTTTAATGAGTTGAATAAATCTTTTCAGGTACTCATGGTTTTTCTGAGATTTATTTTCCTTCTAGTGGTTTCTTTCCTTTCACAAAAATGGCGATTAGTCATTATTCCTGTTAAATGTCATAAGCCACTTAAACCGTACTATTTCGACAGAATTGCTTGTATTGTGTCTCAGACAACAACTCAGAATACAAGCATTCAAATATTATTAAAGACATTATAGAGATTTAATCTTTAAAGACTTATACTTTTAACAGCTTTTAAGAAAGTGAACTGATATCAGTCGACTAGGTGCTGCCATTTATCCAGTACTAATTGTTATTAAAATCTTTGTTTACAGAGTAGATAGGAAATTGCAATACAGTGAGTCGAACATAACACCCTATTTAACTGAGAAAATAAAATAAAATTTGATTTAACATTCATCTGCTATAAATTATTCATGAGATGACTGGGAAAATCATTAAGCTTGATTCATATGTGTCAACGAGATGAAATGATCCCACAATATTGAGCAAACTTAACTGGTTAGATTAGAGGTGGGAACATTAAAACAAGTGGTAACCCCTGGAAATACGTTTGAAAGTGAACATGAATGTGATAACTAGTATTCGAAACCAAATTCAATATCCTTTCAAAACAACATGAGGTGGTGAAGTAGGCTAATTTCTCGACATTAGTAACATAATTGGTCTCACCAGATTTTAGAATATAGCTTTTACATTAAGTTATTGTTTTCAATTTTTCGATAATTAGGAAACTCAACAAAAGTAAAAAACAATTTTAACTACTGAATTGTTTTCTTAATTATTCACTTGAGATTTCCTATATAATATTCACCAATACAAGAGAATAGAAATTCTAAAATCCCTTATTTAAAACCCCAATAAATGAACTTCTGTTATTACCTTAAACGAAATGATTACTTTATCAGAGGATTATTCGTATTTTTATCGTTACAATTACTGTTATTACATATCATATGTGAATACATAACAAATGTTTAAATGGACAGAGATATTATTGACTTATTAAGCGCTGAAGTATCCGTATTTACGGACTTTCATGAAATTTTTGTTTAGAATATATACTGTCGCTTTGCAGTATGTTAATTAATTGGTCATAGTTGAAATGATCCATTAAATAGATAGGAGTTTTTAAACATTACCTATTAGTAGTCCTGCTTATTTCACTAAAAATATGACTAACCAATAGATGAATACATCAAAAATATACTGCATAGAACATTTGGATTATACTATTGTGTCTAAAAATCACTACGAATATTGTCAGTCAATCTTAAATTGCTTCCAACTTTAATTCTGTTCATTTATTTCTACCTGAAGTTTGTGCTGATGATGTCGTTTAGAAGAACGATGAAAGCTCCACGACCAAACTATCCAGCTCAGAGAACAAAACTCCAAAATCATTTAGTTGTCGATATTCACCTTCTTCCGTTTTTATTCTTTCCTATCTGAGTAGTTATACACTTCTTACTACACAATTTTAGTAAATTTTATTGATTATCATCTGTGTTGAACTACTGAATGGAAATTTAATCCTTTTACTTCTCTTATCGTAATTAGCACATCTACGTTTCTACTAATAGCTGGTATTTTTTTCTGCCTATTATATGTAGCTATGCAATCTACTTCATATTGTGAATTGATTCAAACTGCCCTTATTGGTTAAATAGTTTCATATATCCATATAAATATTCTTGAATATTACAGTAAAGCCTGATAACGATCTCGTTGTGTGCTGTTCTCGTTTTCATGACTACCGCCTATCGAAACATATATGGTGTTCCTTCAAACAATAATTCACGTACATATAACTACCTAAAACTAATCATTATATCAATGGGTCATCAAATAGAATTACAATCTATTTATTCATTTTTTGGAGCCATTGACTACTTAATCAAAATACTTTTTTGACACCAGATAAATATCTGTAGGAGTTTAACTCAACGGTAACACTTACGTATCTGAATAATTATTCTGAAGAAATTTATAGCTCTTTAATTTAGATAACAAATTATAAGTGGATGAGTTTCAATGAAATAACTTACTTTGGATCCTAGAAAGTTGATGCATTACAACGAAGGTGAATTCCTCGTAAGTAACAATCTATGAAATAAGTTTAATTACATCAACCAATATTCAAGTTACCTCCTATCATTCCCACCCATACCAAGAAATCAGTCTCTTATTCAAATATATTTCAGATAAATTATACGAGAAAAGAGTCATTTGACGTAGAGTGATACAAGTCAAATATAATCTATATTGTTACTTGGAAAATACAGATTCCTATGAAAGATATCTCCATCCTTTTTCTAACCGAATCAGTTAAGTGTTAAAATCACATGTTAATTATAAGTGAGCTATATCATCATTAATCATATCAAAGTTATTAGTTTTAACATATTAACTACCTCTATGCAACATATAAACCCATCTTTTTTCTTCTATAACTGGTTGAAAATCATTTTAGAAAAAGGAAAAGAAAGAAAAGAAAGAGAAGAAGGAGAAAAAAGAAAACAAAGAGGAAGATGCAGGAGCTCCAGCAGAAGATAAAAAAGAGACAGCAAGTAGTGGAGGCGGTGGTGGTGGTAAACGAGCTCAAAGAGCTACTTCAAATGTTTTTGGAATGTTCCCTCAAAATCAAATCCAAGAATTTAAAGAGGTATACCTCTAATCTATATAATTTTATAATAAAATAAATATCCATATGAATGGTTAGGCCTTTACGTTGATCGATCAAAATCGTGACGGATTTATTGATATTGAAGATTTAAAAGATATGTACGCATCGTTGGGTAAGAATTAACTTTGAAATGTTCAATTTAAAATGAATGTATTTCTAATTTACATAGGTCGGACACCAACTGATAAAGAATTGAAAGAAATGTTAGATGAATCACCTGGTCCATTGAATTTCACAATGTTTATCAACTTATTCGGTGAAAAACTAAATGGTAAACTTTTTTGTTGTTGACTCAAGTTAAATAATTCATGTTTATTTTTAACTAAACCACCATATTTTAACAGTTGAACTCATGAGTATCAATCTAAGCTAGACGACCACTGAAAACCTGGAAGCACTGGAAGGTCGTTTCTTACCAGCTTGGGACTCCTCAGCGGTGCGCATCCGCGATCCCATACTAGTACAAAACGGACGTTCAGTGATTTCAGGTTTTCAATGATGGTCTAGCTTAAATTGATACTCGTGAATTCAACTGTTAAAATACTACAATCTCCACAAATCCTCACGATGATAAACTACAGTAGTTAATTTTAGTTTACTTGTGGAGAATTTCAGACACTTTAACAAAACATATGTCTATAATACAACCTTAATGTTTCGAGTTTAGTAATGTGTGCGGTTATGACTATATAGTAATATAGATTTCCAGTCTAATATTGTATACCTGTTTATTGCTCCTTGATTTAAACGATTCACGTATAAATTTCAATTCATTTTCAAAGTAACCATTAAAACTATAATGAATAATCTATCTTTTCACAATTTTGTCTTGTGTTTCAGGTACTGATCCTGAAGACGCACTACGTAATGCATTTGCAATGTTTGATCCAGGGAACAAACGATATTTGGAAGAAGAATAGTAAGTGTTTTATACCTTACAATTAATCATAATCATATTTTAGCATCAAAGATCTTTTAGAAAATATGGGCGATAATTTCTCTGCTGAAGAGGTGAGTGAATGAAACAATAATAGTCTTTTCTTTGAATACGTAATTTTATAGTAATTTGTTATTTAAGTTTTAGAATTCGAAATTGTTTAGGTTAAATAAAATAGATGTAAGTTAAGGAGAATATTCATAAAGATCAGCTAATGTGTGAAATAAATATATGAATAAGCCAGTGTACATTTTAACTATTTTTGTCAATTCATCTTGGAACTAGACTCCATTTTCTTAAATGTAATATAACATGAATTTATGATAATAATTATATTCTAATTATAATGTTTGCATATTGAGCTTGAATTATCTACTCCTTGGTAATTATGTCCGAAATTCAAATTGACTGAAAATTTGAGGGTACGGAAGAAACATTTTGTGACTACAAAATGAATTTTGTACTATTTTATTCGTAAACTTCCCTTTTACGTTACTTACTTCATAACCCAGTCGACCAACAGAAGAGAGAGCAAGGGAGAGAGTTGACAGTCTTGTCTGACTCCGGTCCTTACTTGGAATGCATCTGTCAGCTGTCCTCCATGCACTACTTTGCACTGTGATCCGTCGTATGAGTTCCGGATTATATTGACAATCTTCTCAGGAACTCCGTAGTGTCGAAAAAGTTTCCATAACGTCCTCCTATCTACACTGTCGAATGCCTTTTCATAATCAATGAAGTTGATGTATAATGATGAGTTCTACTCAACTGATTGTTCGACGATGATCCGTAGTGTCGCAATTTGATCTGTGCACGGCCGATCCCTACGGAATCCATCTTGTTGATCTCGAAGTTGGGCTTCTACTGCGTCTTTCATCCGGTTCAGCAACACTCTGTTAAAGACTTTCCCCGGTGTTGACAGTAGTGTAATGCCTCTGTAGTTCTCACATTTGCTCAGATCTCCTTTCTTTGGTATATTGATGAGGTGTCCTTCTTTCCAGTCCACCGGCACTTGTTCCTCCCAAATCTTTCTGAATAGAAGGTAAAGCATGTTCGTAGTTACTTCGATGTCTGACTTCAGTGCTTCGGCCGGTATGCTTTCTGGTCCTGCTGCCTTTCCGCTCTTCATTTGTCTGATGGCCATTCTGATTTCTTCCGCCGTTTGTGAATTGTCCACTATAGGAAGATCTGTGTGTGCTTCTTCTATGTCCGGTGGATTCATTGGAGTCGGCCTATTCAGGAGTTCTTCGAAGTACTCTACCCATCTGTCTCACTGTTGTTGAAATTCAGTGATTGGCTTGCCTTCTTTGTCTTTGACCGGTCTCTGTAGTCTAATATATTTCTCTCCTAGTTTCTTCGTTGTAACGTAAAGCTGCTTCATATTTCCTTCTCTTGCAGCTTTTTCTGCCGTCGTTGCTAATTCTTCCACGTACTTCTTCTTGTCGGTTCTAATGTCCCTCTTCACTTGCTTGTTTGCTTCTATGTACTCAGCTTGTGCTTGGACTTTCTCTGCTCGTGTTCGGCTGTTGTTAATTGCTACCTTCTTGTTCTTTCTTTCTTTGATCCTGTCCAGTGTTTCTATAGAGATCCATTCCTTATGATGATGCTTCTTTAGACCCAGAACCTCTTGACACGTCGAAGTTAATGCTTCTTTGATACCTTTCCAGTTGTCCTCCATAGTAGTTTCTTCTTCTTTCAGTAGATCTTGTAAGGTTTGGAACCTGTTGTTGAGAGCTATCTTGAATTCATTAAGTTTGTCAGTATCTCGAAGGAAGGCTGTACTGAACTATTGTTGTGCTGTTTGTCCAGTTTTCCAGTTCTTCTTTAGCTTCAGTTTTAAATTGGCCAAAACTAGGTGGTGATTTGAAGCTATATCAGCTCCTCTCCTGCTTTTCACATCTCCTATTGTCCTTCGGAACTTTTTATTGATGCAAATATGATCTATCTGGTTCTCTGTGGTGTGGTCCGGTGAGATCCATGTAGCTTTGTGTATACGTTTGTGTGGAAATATTGTGCCACCTATGACCAATTTGCTGAATGCACACAGATTTGCAAATCTTTCCCCATTTTCGTTTCTCTCTCCCAGTCAATCCATGTCGTCCCATGATATCTTCATATCGGTGTTGTCTATTCCGACTTTGGCGTTTACATCTCCCATCAGAATGGTGAAGTCCTTTCTTGGGCACTTCTCTATGATTGATTGCAGCCTCTCATAGAATTGATCTTTAATGTCGTCGTTGCTATCATTGGTGGGTGCATAACATTGGATAATATTCATTAAGATCCCCTCCTTCTTTGTTTTGAATGATGCTTTGATGATTGTGGATCCGTGAGATTCCCATCCTACAAGTGCATTTCGTGCTACTTTGGACAGCATTAGAGCAACTCCCTGAGTGTGTGAAGCATTTTCCTCTTCGTGGCTGGAGTATAGTAGCATCTCTCCCGTATTTGACCTTTGTTGTCCAGCTTGGGTCCAATGGGTTTCGCTGATTCCCAGTACTGCCAAGTTGTATCTCCTCATTTCCATTGCTATTTGACTGATCTTTCAGGTCTGCCACATTGCCCGGACGTTCCATGTACCTATAAAAATTGTTGATCTGTTTGTTAGAAGGGGCATTGGCCTCGTGGCTTCCGAAGGAACTCGGCTTTCACCATGAGGCGTCATAGTTCTTTTAAATGAAGACCTTCTAACTCCCGTGGCAGAGATGAAATGGTTTGAATTATTTTTACTGGTTAGCGTTTTTTTAGCGAGTTAGTTTTCTACGCGATGGGGTCACTAACCCTCCTCCTTTACCCGGGCTTGGGACCGGCAGTAACTCTAGAATAGCTACAGGCGAAGTTTCCCATTTACGTACTTATCAATAATGTAGTTACAGGATACTGATTTCTTTGATTCACAGGTTTGTTCGCATTAATGTTTTTACCATCCTTTATTTACATCAGCGTTTAATATCAGAGAATTCTAAGTTGAGTGCAGTTTATTTCATAAAACCCTAAGGATTAAGACTAAGATTCGAAAACACTGGACAATTATCTAACACAAATTTCAAAAAAATGTTTCACCTATTTCAATAAATCTTAATTGTAATTTAAATGTATGCCATGCAAACCTTTAATTTTACCTCTATGTAGATAAGACAGACGTGGAAAGAAGCTCCAATTAAAGAAGGCAAATTGGATTACGATGCATTTGTAAATCTCATAAAGAGAGGCAATCAAGATATTTAGGACCAACATTTCTATAGAAAGGGTGAAAAATAAACTAAATTCATTCCCTTGCATATTCAGCCCCTTTTCCTTTTATTATGCTTTAATGAATAAAATTCCCTGTTTTCATGCTAAACCAAATACATGCTTTCCCTCTTTGTTTTAGTTTTAAAAATATTGATGTATGTATTCGATTTCTTTTATCTTTGATGGTTAATATTCTTATTATTCTTATTATTATTCTGCATGACTAGAATATTGTTTATGAGAGTTATTTGATTCGTTATTTTCTGTTGGAAGGTCTATTTAGTTTTATTTCCATTCATTGAAACCTTTCCAGCTTTTGTCAACCATTCATTCCGTGCTCGGCTTTAGTTGTTGTGACCTTAATAATTTAACTTATGAGATGAAGCGTCTTAAAGAATCCAATTATGGGTGAACGGCGACAGATACTAGTTATTTTCAGATCTGCTAACTGCTGGTGCTCGAATAATCTAAAAGCCTTATATCTTATAATCAATCGGCTTACTTCGTCGCTCAAAAATCGCCATTCTTCCATTGATTATACTTATTATTAATGGATCAGATCTCCATAGTCTTTTGTATCTATCTTTCTTGTTGTTGAATATCTCTTCACTTTATTCTATTCTTAATAAGTGTGCTTGAGAAAAGAAACTTCGATTTAGCATTGAAACCTTTCGTCACCGATTCTTGTATCAAGCATTTACTCAAAGGAGAGGACATTCCATTCAAATGTCCAAGTTTGTGTTTGGTTTATTGGCGATACAAAATGGTCCTTAGAATATACATTTTTCAGGAGCATAGACTTACAAACGACACGAGACGAATTGTTTCTAGTTTTCTGAAGAAAAGCCTGGACGGTGTATATCATGGGTTAATTTCAGTAGCTAATAAACAATATCAATCATTGGGCAAAAGTGAAATGAATATTTTTCTGCTGGAGACTAACTAATTTCGTTGTGTTATTCTCCATAAATTAAGCGTTGATCTTGAACGGTGATGATCCCAGGTAAATTGAACTTCACCGATTAAAGTGTTTTCAATCTGGGTTGGTTCATTGCAATCGAAATGATTTTTTCACTTAAAAACAAAATATTTATTCATATTACTTCCTATATGTGTGTTTGATGTGACAGTGCGTTTTCTTAAACTTTCAATGTTTGTTTCTTATTATTTTTATGAATGTTCTGTCCCTACGTATTACTTGTACACATTATTTTATGGAACTGTTGGGTGTTATGCGTGTTTTACTTCTTTCATTTTTGCTTTACAGTTGTTTCAATACATTAATCATCTAGTTAATTTGATCGAGTGATGATTTTTAGTTACCAGTGTTATGTATATGAAGGATAAGTATAGCAGATTAAACGAAAAATGGACATTTTTAACATTGAACCAGACAGACCATTACATGGAATAATTTACTGAATGAAAATGGGATAAACAACAAAGAGGCTTATAAAATGAACATTTCAAGAATCTTTGAGTAGACGTACCGATAGCTAGACTTTTATGCGATTATGAAAATTTCTGCTTCAACTGTTCAAAGAAAATCTTCAGACGAACTATAGTGACTATAGTTTGTGGTGGTTCAGTGGCATAATACCGTCGTTTATGAGCATGTCCAATATGTCGCGAATGACTTTTATGCCTGAAATGTGGCCGATTAAAGCAAATAGTTCTATTAGAACGACAGCACATGTCAGCAACACTAGACTAAAAAAACACGGTTGGACCACTATCATACAAGCCAGCCCATAGAATCCCTTGAATAAATGGCGTCAGTTTTATCTGACCAGAGCTGGCAGCCAGAATATCATCAATATACACAAATACAAGTCCAGTCTTCTACAGACCTCGCCTATTAATTGTTAGAATGTTTGAGCTGCATTTTTTAGTCTGAGTGGCATCTTTCAGAATTTAAACAGACCGAAAGTTGTGGTGACGTCTGGGTGGTAAGGGAAAGTTCTTCATGGGATTAAGCTTATGGTACACAAATGCTCTCAGCCTGAAAAATAAGATGGCGGAGCTCAAAACAGTGGCGGACACAGAAAACTCGGATGTCACTGGCATCTGAGAAACAGGGTCAACGTCATATGTCTATGATAGTGAAATTCAATTGCTTGGTTTATTACTTAATCGAGCTGAACGACTGAACCTTAGGGGTGGTAAGTTTATTCTGTATACGAAAAGCACCTTAACCATACGAGCTGTTAGGACGGTTGTACATGGCTCAGAGACATGTGAACTGATGCGCTGCCGACATTAGATTAGGTGTAGTATGTCACTCTCCAGAATATGTAGTGCGTGGCTTCCTTCACAGTAAATTTAATTCCTGGTCAAACAGGTGTAGGTGACTTTAATGCACCATCTACAAATCGGTGAAACATAGATGTAGAGTCATTGAAAACATTGAGAATCGTTAGAAACCACAATCGCCAATATTTAATCCAGCGCATTAGAGATCCCACGAAATATGACCTAAAAAACTCCTCGTCTCATTGGACATACTCTTTACTCACGGTGATGATGCCAGTCAAACACGTTTCCTTTCATCTTTAGGGAGAATTGGTCGTGCTGCTATCTTATCCACGTTCTTGGCTGAGATGGCTTTTCAAGCAGCTGTGACACCCTGCCCTAATACATGAAAAGCAGGCATGAAGGCGATAAGACTAACCTGAAATCTGGACAATAGACTCATGGACGTCAGAAGAAGAGGCACAACTTATTTTCCGGCAAACAAACCATAACATTACTCAACATTTTATACATGGACAGTCCCAAAGAAGAAGTGCGGCCATCCCTGGACAGACCAGGATACCATGACGTAAGAAGAAACGTTGGAACATCTCTATCACAGTTGAAACAGCAAGTACGATGGAACATTACAGATCGGTACGAAATAAGTGTGTAGTTTCAATCCGGGAAGCCCAGCGAAAGAGTAAAAAGCATTTGACCTATTCAATAATCAAGCAGCTTAAAAGACTGTTCTCGTACACAAATTACGGAACAAGGACACCGCATTGGATTCTCAATCTAACGACTGATCACGTTTGACACCGAAAAATTAACATGGCCGTATGGACTACGTGTTAAAATCTTGAGACTAATGGCACAATATACTGCTGTCATATGACCAAGATGAGTTACCTATAGACCAGAAGGATGCAATTGTCACTCCAGTACAAAAAACAGGTTCAAGACAGCCTCCATCAAGCTACAGACCTGTGAGCCTAGCCAGCGTCGTAGTTAAAATAATCGAAATAATAATCAAGATGACTACAATGGCATTAGCAGAAACCAAAAACTTTTCAAAAAGCGAACAATATGGTTTCTGAAGTGGTTTATCTTGAAAAACAAATTTCCTTATAGCAAGAAAGCATGGGTTAGAGGTTTAAGATATCAGAAAATTAGCGAATATTGTCTACATAGACTTCAGCAAGGCATTTTTTAAGGTGCCAACAAATGGACTACTCTTGAAGCTGCAAAACATAGTGATTGCAGGATATCTCAGAAAATGGACTGAGAATTCCCTGGTATGAGATAGATGGGTAGTAGGGACAAATTCCTAGTGCTTTACCTGGAAATCAGTACTTTGTGGAGCTCCACAAGGCTCAGTCCTAGAGTCTCTACTTTGTATACTGAACGTAAATGAAGTCCCAAGTGTGGTGTAGTCCGCGTTGCTACTCTAATCTGATGATGTAAAAATCTGGTGAGAAATAACAGAGGATGTTTTTACATGTGCACTTCAGGTGACTCGGATATTCTGGATAAAGTACAGAGGGTAGCTACCAGAGCAGTTCCAGAACTTCGGGGTTTGCCATAAAAAGAGAAGCTTGAAAAGCTAGACGTCTTTACTCCGTCGTACCGCAGATTAATATGCAATTTGATTTTGATGTGTTCAACTTTAGGAAATGATTTTGGACCTGATATATCCTCTCTTTTTCTTCCTATCAGATTGGGTAAACTCAGAATACATAACACGGGGTTGGAAAAGCCAAGGACAAATGAATTACGAGTGGTATACAGACGTTCACGTAGAGACATTGTAGTGTGGCGTCGAGTCACGGTTGACTATGATCACCACTACAAGAAGGTTGCGTGCCAGATACCAGAAGGCTGTTGATAGCTGTAGTCGAGATGTATTTGTTGGCGGTCTCGTGGTATCGACAACTGGAAGAACACCGTAATAAGTTCTGTCTTCAAAAAAAGAAGGCGCACTATTGGTTTGTATGCCTAACACGTAAGGTTGATAAAATTTAAGTAAAAAATAATAAAAATAATATGTGCAGGTTTCCAAATGAAAAGTTAATTCCCTCCCAAATTAAGTATGATTTTAGAACAGACTATTTGTTACGTCCAAGTTTTGCTCGTTCCAGTTATTGAAGTACGGACTATCGATCTACTTGCAAATTACGAACCCAAATTAACAACAGAACCAAGTTCCAATTTAGATACCAAATTTGTTCGTAATTCACAAATAATCGACCAAATGTCGTTCTAACAACAATAATTATAACAATTACAAAACAAACCTTCAATTTTGTGGGTTCCCGGAGCAAAACTCCCAAATATCAAACCAAAGACAAAGAGAGCACCAAAATACCAAGACAAAAGTAAAACAATTACATCCAAAAAGACAGTAAATTATTAATGTACAATAAAAGGTTTTCATTCGTCAAATGTCTTCAGTTCTCCCGTAACACTATTCAAACGTTACAATCTTGAGAATGTTCATATTCCCTAAAGGGCCGATCACTAAGATGTGGCATTCACTAACTGAACATGTGGCTTGATCTCGACCTGTCAACGCGTCCGAAAAGAAGTCAGACAGACTGAGAAACTCAAATCGCCAGAACAAGCACAAGCAATCCAATTGACTGGCCTAAGTCACGTGCTATTGTTTTGGTGGTTTATTACATATCAAGACCACCATTCACCTTTTAATTGAATTTACTTAAGTTAAAGTATTCTATAAAAATATCGTTTTTGTTTCCGAA